ATACACATGAGAATTTTTCTCCAACTTTTTTGTGAAATGCGAAATTTGTTTATGTAATAGTAAAATTTGAAATTTTGAAAAATGCGTTGACGAAAATCAAAAAAGTTTGATATTTCAAAATTGAACGAATTGTATCTTTTATTTTAAATATTTGTACTTTCGACCTATGTAAAATTTCCAAATAAAATTTTATTTCCAAAACATGTTACTAAGAAGAATTAAAATAAAATTATCTTCAGGTAAAGGTAACGAGTACGAAGATGCATACCTTTTCCTTAAAAAGTTATCCAAGTAGCAGATTGCCATCACAATTTTTGTACACTTTTTCGGAGATGGATGAATTGTAGTCAGCAGTACTCGAAATTTTGAGGATATTATATCAAATGCATTCTCTACAACTCTACGTGCACGAGATAATCTTTTGTTGAAGTAATCTTGTTCTGCAGTCAATCCACTGCTGCTATATGGTTTTATTATATTTTCTCTAAGAGGAAACGCATCATCTGCATCAAATACATATGGTAGCTCTGTATCAGAACTAGTTATAAGTGTTTATGGCGATATAAGTAGCTGACCATCTTCATACACTTCATTAAATAATGTGTTGAAAAACACCCCACCGTCAGAAACTCAACCATTATATCCAACGTCAATCATCAAGAATTCATATTTTGCTGCTAAATTCATCAGAAGTAATTTTTCATTCCTCTTCATTTTTTGGCAACTGTAATTAAAAACAACTAGATTTAGTATGTTAGCTTTGGCTCTGTCGAATTTTTACTTACATAAATATATTTCTTTAAAACCTTTATATAGCATTGCATGTCTCAGTAACAATTTTGCTGATGCTAGTTGGAGAAATGTACGCACGAAATTTCAAACCTTCAAACTTTGGCCTGTTGCCAAAAACGTAAAGTTGTCGATAGTCTTTCATGCGGTGAAATTGTCTTGCAAAATTGTCATTCTTAAAAAGTTTCTGTAATCATTGGGTGAAGTTGTTTGCAATTTATTTAGTAAATAAGTGTGGCATAGTCTTGATCTTTTCTGAAGCTAATATTTCACCCATATTCGTTTTCTTTTTTGTTTTTTTGCTTCCTCCTCTTCAATAAGCAGTTCTCTTATTCAAACTAGTGTCAATATTTTTCGCTCCATTATACTTTATTTTTTACTATAAAAATATTAATCATCAAATCCTATTTTATACGTTTAAAAACTTACCCGATCAACTTTAAACTTCAAATAAAAAAAATTATTTTTCTTACAAAAATACGCATACGTGCTTTCTATGAAGCAATAGAAAACACATACGCATTTACTAAGCACGAATCCACTGCATTTGAAAACAAAGGCCACCACCACTTTTTCCCACGGATGGATATGCGATAGTTCGATATTGCATTATCCGCCATATCGACACCACCCATGTGCAAATTATAATTTGCAGTCGCGTGAGGCTGAGGAAGATTCACATACTTTTGTAAAGTCCTATTATAACGACGGGCCGAATTCATGGGTTCCATTGATTCGAAATTCGTTGCAATTGTAACAAGCGAATTATCTTGCCAAGATATAACGTAAATTAATCCGTTTTGCTTATCAAAAGCATAATCGGATTCACCTGAAAAAGAGAAAAATAGAGAATAGGATAGAGAATAAATTATTTTACACGATATGTAATTGAATAACCTTTTTTCAATTCTTTTTTTCTTTTAATGGAAAGGTTTGACGGCAAACGATTTCGACAGACTGTTCCACATGCTAGAAAATTTTTCTGTGATAGTAAATACATCAAATAGAATGATGTAAAAAAATTATCAAAATATACACAATGCCATTCAGCATGTTCAACATTTTCTAGCAACTTCAATACAACATGCGCTCCAAGTCCAATTTCTTTATCGTATGGTTGAGTTGAACCAGCATATGGAATTGTACTATACATATAGCCATCAGATGAAGCTAATACCCATAATTTAAAACCAAACTTAATTGGTTTGTTGCGAATGTACATTTTTGAACTGTGTCGCCCAAAGTATGGAACCATTTGCTCATCTATAGACAAGTATTCATGAAACACTCCAAACTGCATGAATTTTTTATTAACCAAAGCAATTAAAGGTGTTACTTTTGCAAATCGATCATTACTATCAAGTGAATTATTGTCTGCAATGTGCAGAAATCGTTTCACTTGACGAAATTCATTGCGAGTAAGTGCTTCCTTAACTATTGGAATACCAAAATCATTCTGTTGCCGCCAATAATGCTCAATTTCTGGAAGCTTATGATAGCCACTGAACAAGAGAAATCCAATGAAGCGATTAAGCAAACGTTCGTCGAGAATGTTAGTTGTTACATTATTCTGACTTGCATACTTCTTACTTTCTGTAATAATTAACTCAACAACTTCTTTATCGAAAAACAATTTAAATAATTCTGTTGGAGTTTTTCCACCTAAGATGAAAAAAAATGATCAAACACTTTCTTTCGTATAATTGTTACATACTAGTTTACCATATATATTAACAAGATCCTCTTGCTGAGCTTCGAGGCCAGTTGTATTGTGAGCAATTGGTGGAAATTTTGGAAACTTAGTTTTCTTCCAAACACTCCGTGGAATCGAAGTTTTTGGAGAATAGAGGCTTTTTACCTGGTGAATTATGCTCTGTTTTGGATAGGTCCAGTTATGGTGCAGCAATGTCTTCTTTGGTGTTAATAAAGTGCAGTTCTATTTCACCTGCAACATCTTGCAATAGATAATAGATAAATTGCAATGCGGATACCCCTGGACAATTCACATCTATATTTCCTATAATTCATGAACATTTCAAATGTATCTTGAATGTTAGTATGAAAATAATACCTATATATTTCATAAACTCTATCTATAAAAACATTAGTGTTAGTATAATGCGGAATATCACGTTGACCATATCTGTATAACTATACATTCATGGACAATCTATAATATTCTTATTATGTTAGTATGAAATAATGCGGATATATTGCAAGCTCATATCTATATTTCCTATAAGTCATGAGCAAACAAAAATATCTTGAGTGTTAATATGATATAAGATGAACCTATACCAAAACTATAAAATTTATTAAAATAATTAAGATTACTAAAATATTCAAATAATTTTATACTATTTAATAAATAAATAACAAATAATAAATAATATAATAAATTAATATAATAATGTATTATATAAATAATATTACTAATGATTAATTTTTGAAATGAAAGAGAAATGCTTTCGCTAGAGTATCAAATTGAATACTAGTTTAATTAAAGTAAAATATGTTCATTATTGAACATACTGCCGCGCCTTTATTAAGGCGGAACGGCTTAATATAAAAAGTCTATTAAATATAATATAAAGGTTTAATTTTAATTTAATATGCTATACATTAGCTTTATAAGAATTTTATTTTTACAAAAAAAATTTTAATATTTAAGTATGTATATATTTTTTTAGTAACTATATAAAAAAAAAAATTATAAGAATTTACATGAATGATTATCTAATATTTTTTTTTTTAAATTAAAGTATAATGTAGCATAATAGTAAAATAATAATGTTTTGCAATAGTAGTATTGAATAATAATAATATAATTTACATTATATTCATTCATGAACATTCTGACGCTGAGCTGATATCGCAATTGCCAGCAGTCGCCTTCTTCTCATTGTTGCTCGAATCAAATAAATAATTATTGTTATAATTATTATAGTTGTCAAACCAAGCGCTGCGTGACCGGATGGCTATTTTAAGGCTATTTTGGGCTTCCAGAGTTTGGAATTGTTGTTCCAGAAATTCAAATACATCTTTTAGTGTGTTTATTTCTCTTGGTTTTTTAATGTATTGTTCATATAATTGAATACCTTCTTTATCCAATTTTCTTATTATTATGTGCGCGTATAATTTGTCACAGTTAGGTTCTGCCTGTTTAGATTCAATTAGTTGAATGCATTGTTTAATTTGATCATGAGCGTCTCTTAAACTCAAAACTGATGATGAGGTAATTGTTTTCATGTCAAGTAATTTGTCAAAATTTCTTGTAAAAATTAATCTTTTGTTTTCATATCTTCTTATTAACGTATCCCACGCCGCTTCATAGTTTGCTGATGTTCCAGATAATAGATGACTAATAGTCATACGCGCATCCCCTTTAATATGAGATCTTAAATAGTCAAGTTTCATTGAGGATGATAAATTTCGATTATTATGTACGTAATCTTTAAATAATTCTACGAAAGTTTGCCAATCTTCATCTCTTCCGTCGAAATCGTGTAATTGTGTAATTGGTGTTATGACTTCTTTTTCAATCTTAACTTGATTTTTAGTATGATTAAATTCATCTTTGCAATCCAAAAATACTTTAGCCTGTTCCAATATCATCTCATACCTTTCATTAATATTACTTAATTGGTCTTTGTCTAATGTTGCCAATATTTGTTGTATTTTTTCATAATTTCCTTCTATTATTCGAATTAGCACACTTCGTTTCATTGCTTCTGTTCTAAATTCTTTGATCATTTCTTCTAGTCCTTTTAGTCTTTTCATCAAATTTTCTAGTTTATCTCTAGCCATTTCCTTGTCTTTTCCTGCTTCTTCTCTCGTTATTTTGAATTCTTGTGTGGTTATTTCTGAATCTTCTGGATTGTCTATCTCTGATTCTTCTGTATTTGAAAGTAATTTTTTTGCTTTAGTATATTTTTCTAACATATCTTTTCCTACCCCTTCGTTGAAATATGGTATATCTTCTATACCTAACTTATATAATTTTTTATCATTCTCCGAGAATGTTTTCCATATTTCTTCTAGTAATTCTAGTACTTCATGTTTTTTACTCCTTGTTACTATTCCTTCTGCCTGTTTAAATAGTTCTTCTAGTTTTTTGATCAAATTATATTGGTCTTTGATTAATTCGCTCTGTGTATTAGTTAATAGACCCATTTTTTTTTTTTTTAAAGGAAAGATATTTTTTAGTTTAAATTTTTATTATTTTTTTTTCTCTTCGTAATTTTTTAATTTCTCTTTTAATTTTTATTTTATCTTCTTTATTTGTTTGCAGATGCAATTCTTGGTATAATAGTGCAAACGCCTTCCTTCTTTGAAACTGCTTTCCAGCTCTTTTTCTTTTCTTCTTTATCTCCGGTTTTGGACTTGGTGGTCTTATTGGTCTTTGCCGCTTTTTATATTCTTCAATAGTTAACTTCTTTGGACCTTGATTTGCTATTACACTTGGTGTGTAATTAGGGTAGGAACCTGGCTGCTTTTGCTTGGGTATATATTCTTCAATTGTTTTGTGTTCTTCTGACACGTTTTTGATATTGTTTCGTATTGATGGATTTTTTCTATTTTTTGTCATCTAAAAAATAAAGTAAATGTTTATGTCTATTTGCTGACGACAGTTAAAAAACGCCCTGTATTCTAACCTTGATGAATTTCCCTAAATTCCTTTTTTTATTTTATTTTATTATATAAGCTGTTAGGATCAGCTCTTTGGTTTTAATGGCGTTCTTGAACAGCCTTAATACTTTTGAATTTTTAGTCAAGTGTCTTGCCTCAATCACTTTTAACTAATTTTTTGTTCTTGACGAACGAGTTTATTTTTCAGAGGTTGTAAGGCTCTGAAAAATTTTGAGTTAGAGTTTGTAAGGCTCTAACAAAGTCAAGTGTCTTACCTCTGGTGAGGGATCACTATGACTTTTATATTTCAAAATTTAAAAAATTTTCCTTAGCCAATTTCCTAGGCTCGAAGGACCAAATGATTAATTTTTGAAATGAAAGAGAAATGCTTTCGCTTACTTTAATTAAAGTAAAATATGTTCATTATTGAACAACTAAATATAATAATACTAATAATAAAATATTATTAAATAATAGTATAATAATAATAATAAATTAAGAAATATATTAATAAAATATATACTAAAGCCATTATTAAAAATTGCTAAAATTTCTAAAAATTTCCCTAAAAATTTGTAAAACATTGTCTAAACAATCCTATTTTTATGGCTCATTATAAATGAATATATAATATATGTTCAAAAGAATATAATGAAACACCAAACAAACAAAACATTCATTCTATTTCATGGTACAACCACTACTTAAGAAGAATATATTTGTCAAGCAAATCAATCCCTTCAAACACAAACTATACATTATCTAAAAATACAATTCTAAAAGAATCATATAATCAGATTGCTTTATGACTAACTATATATATTGTGTTGATATTATAACTGTTACACAAACTGATTTACAAATTAAACAACATTTCGTTTTGCTCGTCAAGATAAGACTGATTTTTATTTTCATATTTTCCTTAAATCTAACATAATTTCTTATGACTAATTTCCAATAGAATCTTATCTAATGATTCTATTGGTTAATACTTAAATTACTATCGTCTAATTGGTTAACCCAAATTAGACGTATATAATGTTTTACAAAAAGTAGCTTATATACATTTATTAGTTATCTTCTATTTCACAGTGGCACACATCTGGTAACCAACTGTATTGAGGGCAAATCATATTGCATGCACGATCGCTTGCAATATGATCTGTGAAACACTTAACACAAATTCATGTGCTGAGCATGCCGCAATCCAAATTGTCAAATGCATATTGAAACAATTAAATATGCATACAAATATTTTGTCATAAAGAAATGACAAAATTCTACGAGTCAAATTTCTGACTCATAAATTATTT